TGACGTTTCCAGCTGCTTGGATTGCTCTTCCGGAAAAGTTCACCGTGTGCTTGCATGCTTGCGGATTGGTGCACCTTGTTGTTTGCTTGTTTGCTTTTAATCTTGATGCTTCCGCAGTTTGTGGTTTGCTACTGATCGTGTCACTTAACCATTATCGGCCGTTTCCTTTGCCGTCATGGATCATGGTGACCTTTTACGAGAATGTCGTTACCTACTACACTCCATCTCGTCGTAGATCAGTATACTAGTGGCTGGACTAAAACGTCTTGAGGGTCACCAGCGCCATCCGCAACCACCGCTTCCTCCCGTTGTACCCACCGGTCCTCCTGCGGTCCCTCCAGTACCGACAGTATTCGAGGTGCTCCCACCACCCCCGCCTCCTTCGATGCCTTCTACCAATCTAGCGGAAGCTGCTGATCTCATTGAACCAGTTAGTGACAGTGCATCCAGGGAGCGCAACAGGCGAAGACGGTCTAGGAGGCGTAAAGCGCATCGGTACCGATCTCGAAGCCGCAGTCATCGCAGACGACCGCTTGCTCGTCGGGGCCCTGCCCTAACTTCGGACCATCGCGGTGCCGCGCCGAAAGATCATCCTGCAGTTAAAGCCATGCCAGCGTGTCGTCCCTCCGGACTCACACGTGGCCGTTGAAGCTCGGCGCACGGTAAAAGGTATTCAGCTCTCAGATGCAGCCGAAATGCATGCCAGTTTGAGTTGCTTGTGGTGACTCGCAGCCGCCTCTTGCTTGTATTGTCCTTGCATTGATTACGCTTGCCACGCGGCTGTCTCCAGAGTTTGTGAATAACCTGATGGCTGTGCTCAACGTTCTCGCCTCCCAGGTTGCCACAGCCTTGGACACCTTGAACTTTGCCCTTGCGGTAGATCGGAATTCGGAATCCGATCCCCGGATGGTTCCCAGGCCGCCACGCAACTCAAGACACGGGCTACGTCCAAGCATCATCACGGAGCGCATCGCGTCAGACCGGTCGCGCGCACCACCTCGCACTAGGACTCGGCCCTTGGACACGTCCTCGACCTGGTACACGCCTGAGCTGTCGCCTCCTCCAGATGTACGTCGTGATGTTCCCGGCCCAGGAACAGACCATGATCTTCGTCCAGATGCTCTTGTTGACCGGCTTCCCCAACCAAGAGTGCCCACTCCCATCGCGGCAAACACCGATCGTGGACCGGTGATGACGCCCTCTTCTACTCCGGATTCGGATTCGGACGGTTCTGTCCGTCCCCATCCTGGTGCTTCATCGTTTCGCCCATCACCAACAGTGGTACATGGCCCTCGGGAACTTCTGCAGGAGTTCACCATGCCCTCCGCAATGCGTACCATGAACCATTCACGGCGTGGACACAAGGTGAGCTGGATGAGATGGTCAGGCGCAAAAAAGACAAGGACGCCAGACCCACCTACAAGACTATTGCCCGCTCCCTCCAAAAGTCCGCGGAGGAAGTCAAGCAGGCATGGAAGGTTTATCAGCAACTTGAGGCACGCAGCTAGACACCTTTGCAGCGTTGGCGCCGTCAAAATTATTCTGCGTGGTTGTGTATTGCTTTGGACTTGTTGTCTTGCTTGCCTTGTCTTGCTGTCCTGAGTGTTCAAGTCATGATGGAACAAAATGTTCAGACGTTCATAACCTGGACCCATGGAGTGCAGCCGAAGTGGTTGCAGTATCACGGACCCTCACTTCATGATCGCCTACTGATTGCGGGCGCCGGTACCACCGCCACCTCCACCACAGTTGGTTCTACCTCCTCCACCTCCAGTCCTCCACCCACAGTTTTTGCCCTCACTTCACCCACTTCATCCATTGAGGACAATCCTGCCCGGCCACTATGACCTCTGAACGCACACGTCGGTCAGGTCACCAACTCAGTGCTGATGATCTTCGGAGCCCCACGCGCACTCCAAAGCGCACTCGCGCATTGAAAGGTGCCGCATCAACCACTGCAGGGCAATATTCTTGACGACCCTTCACCGTGTTCACTCCCAAAAGGTCTACTCGTGCAACACGGTCCAGAACTACAAGATGCAAGCATTGCTGCCATGCCTTTATACATCATGGACGGAAGTGTCTTTCCCCTTGTGTGAGACGTCAACCAGGACACTTCCATTGCAGATGCGCACGTCATCAACGACAGTGAACAGGTGCCGTGCAGCCTTGTGTGTGAAAAGTCGGTCCGCATTGCTTGCTGATTGTGCATGGGTTGCCTTGCGCTTCTCACATGTTTGTTCTTTCGCAGACCCTTTGCTTCACAGAGACGCATTCGGTTGTCATGCTAACTTCGACATTTGGAAACGAGAGATGAGCCTTCCCGCGCTACTTTGAGTACGACATCGTGCGTGGCCCTGGGAACTCAAGAGTGGAATGGATTCGTGTTTACACACCGGGCATGTGGCAGCCTGTGGCAGCCTGTGGCAGAATCCACCTTAGGCCCAGCTCCGGACCACGCGTCCACATATCGTGAATGGCGCAGAGTCTACCACTTTGACGTGTGTTGGCCTCGTGACAGCACAGGAGGCACCACTGCGGATGCCCTCGCACTGCCGGTCTCCTACGTGTCCTTATACACGTGGCAATATCGAGATTGGCGCACGCGGGGATACCAACCACGTCCAAACATTGGATCGCCAGATCTCGTGTACGCTCCACCGAGCTACGATCCTAATTTTGACTGGGACGAGCGACATTGATGCCTGGGCAGACTGTTGCTTAAAACATTGTGCTTGTTGCGTCTTGCGTCTTGAGTGCATTGTCTAAGGCCTTGAGTTTGATTGACTTGTACCATGTTTGTATCTTGCAGCCATGTGCATCATTGATCGATCATCATGCCGTGGCTAGAATGGTGCCCTGATCCTCAGCGACCTGACGCTCAATGGGTTAAGATTTTCCATCCAGGGGCATGGACACCACAAGACGAACGTGATGACCCTCCTCCACGTCATACGTACAGGGAAGGGATGACGGGGTTCAACCCGCCAGAAGTACTTGGTACAAGCGGGACTGGACCACAGAAGGTTACCGGCGCGTCGCAGCTCCTGAACTTGACTACGGCTTCAATTCGATGTTTTCTCCCGATCAGCACAACGTGGCCACGCAATCATCGGCTTTGTGCATGTCTACGCAGATGTTGGACGCGATTCTTCGATCTTCGGATGCGTCGGCTTTCTCTACTGAGGATCTCACTCGTCTTCAAGCAGGGATCGGTCAGCAGCTGTCGGATCGCGCGCGTCAAGCGTCGCAACCGCACCAACCAGTGCGTACTTCTCGGGGCGTTGATCCGCCTGAGTCTATTGGGGTCGCTGATCCCTATCTGCCTGCAAGCCAACCAAGCAGCTCTGCCACCAAGGAGAAGCCTATCTTCGAGCTAGTTGCTGAGTAGACTGATGAGTTTTGACCGTGGTACAAAATGGTGCTTTCACGTTCTCTTGCTTTCATGTGTGCTTGTTGGTTGTGCATGGTTGTGCATGGTGACTGTCTCCTTGCTAGCTGGATCGGAACCTGTGGTGCGCCCTATCTTTCACTTTGACATGGATACAGATGATGCAACTCAGACGTCGGCCCGGACTGACATTCAGCACCCGTGGCTGGAGTATTCAGTCTGGCAGGGTCGTGAACGGGTGCGGATCTATATTCCTGGACAACCTCAGCTATGGCACCCGGATGATGAAGTACCTTCCAGAGAACACTTTTCGGGAGTGGAAACGGGTGACCGATCCAGATGAAGAGACTCATGAACCAGGCCAAGCATGGACTATTCGAGATTGGCAACATCAAGGATACCAACGGATATTGTCCCGCTATGAGTCATTCTCCACCCATCACGCTCCGGATCAACTACTTGATGGCTTACACAATCCGGACATCTCCATCCAGGTCGAGGAAATGTTCACCTACGCCCCGCCCATGTCCGACATTGCACATCCGTCATCTTTGCATCTTCCGCCGGTCTTCTATGGCGGCACACTTCCTGCTCAACTTGGAGATCCTTCGTCCCCGTCTTCTGAGCGGCATCGCACAGAGCGTGCAATTTCTCGTTCTCCCCGCCGCTGTGGATATTTTGGTTGACGTTAGGGAGTTGAGCGCGTGATCTTCCGGAAGCAAAAGAGAATGTACGCCCCTCGTGGAGGGGCGTGTGTGTGCGGAGTGGCAGAATACCCTGCCACCACAATTGCTTATGATTTCAACCGCAGGGGGTGCCAGGGGCAGAGCAAGGCTGGCACCAACGAAGACCTTTGCTCTTGCCTGTGATGTCAGTCTCGGACGCGAGATTGACGTACCTGCACCAGTGATTCAAAGTCCTTTTGGCCCGTTGTTTCTCTCGCTGTGTGTGCTTCATGTTGAACCTTGTAACGTTTTCGACACTAGAGGGAAGCCGAATGCATCGCGAGCCGAGACTCATCGTACTCGAGACTCATCAGTTGTACTCGAGACTCATCAGTTGTACTCGAGACTCATCAGTTGTACTCGAAAGATTAGCACCCTCCCTTGGGAGTTGAAGTGTGTGTGTGTGTGTGTGTGTGTTTGTGTGTTTGTGTGTTTGTGTGTTTGTGTGTTTGTGTGTTTGTGTGTTTGTGTGTTTGTGTGTTTGTGTGTGTTTGTGTGTGTGTGTGTTTGTGTGTGTTTGTGTGTGTGTGTGTGTTTGTGTGTGTGTTTGTGTGTGTGTGTTTGTGCGTGTTTGTGCGTGTTTGTGTTTGTGCGTGTTTGTGTGTGTGTGTGTGTGTGTGTTTGTGTGTGTTTGTGTGTGTTTGTGTTTGTGTTTGTGTTTGTGTTTTTGTTTGTGTTTGTGTGTGGGTTTGCGTTTGTGTTTTTGTTTGTGTGTGTGTTTGTGTGTGTGTGTTTGTGTTTGTGTTTGTGTTTGTGTGTGTGTGCGTTTGTGTTTGTATTTGTGTTTGTGTTTGTGTTTGCATTTGTGTCTGTCTCCGTGTCAGTGTGTGTGTGTGTGCTTGTGTTGTGTGTGTTTCTGTTTCTGCCTGTTTCTTTCAAGTCAGGATTTGGTTTGCGCAGCAGTGGAGCCAACTGTGGCAGCCCGGAAGCAGTCATACAAGCGGTCGAGAGGCAGAATGCAAGAGGCAGCCTTTCACGAGCAATCCAATCTTTGCGTAAAGCCTCAGGTCATTTACAACAGCGTGCTTGGCGCACTACATGGAAGCCCTGATTTGGCGCTGGCATTGGCCGAAACCATGCGCCTGCGCAGGCAGCATGCTTACTCGTCAGAGCCAGTCGCTTCGCGCACCTGTTTGTTGCACCATGGCTTTAGTCCCGAGGCATGCTTGGAATGGGCAGATAAATCCAGATCCGGTGTGGTGTGCTCAGAAACTTGACTTGGATGTCCTTCGCTCAGCATCATTGCCAGGCTTCTTCCTACAGCTGCGACCTACAGTGCAGAATCTCGGGCAGCACACCTATTTGGATTTCAGATCAGTCAGCATGACCCACAGAGCCTTAAGGCGTGGCGTGTTTGACTGTAATTTAATACTGGTGTTTGCTGTAAAATATATGACCTCGATGTTGTGGTTATTGTTGTTTCTCGCTGCCAACTGACTGTGTGCAGACCTTGCTTGCCGAAGCCAGCGATACATTCTTCATGGGTGGTCGCTGCAAGGGATCCCAGGCAATTGGGTTTCTTTGGACATGATCCCTGGTTTGTGCACGTGTTTGCTCGGGTTCGGTGAACAAGGTGCGCAGAAGAACTTCCATCGCGCCGCCAAGCAGGAAAAGCCTGAGTTGAGCCCACAAATCACGCTCAAACAAGAGGCAATAATATACACCAAAGAAGCTTTATGGAGTGCCATATCACCTCAAGTTCTGACAAAGGGCGGGACAGCTTTGGTATGAACGAGTGCTAAGATCAGCTTAACCGGACGTTACTGTGGGCTCAGGCATAGGCCTTTCCTAGGAGGAGAGCAGGTCTTCCATTCAAGCCACCGATCTTGCCTATCCCGCCGGGTTGCTTTGTACCTTTGGCCTGAGTGTAACAACTCAAAAGGAACGGCTCCAAACAGGGACTCCATGTTTGGATTTGGGCACAGGCTTGGATAGACCAGCTACAAGCAGTTGCAGTTGGATTTGAAGAGAACCCACAACATTAGCGTTTTCCGATGGACACATTCACCTATTCCGACCATGCTACCCACTCGGGGCATAAACGCCAAGGTGCTGAGCGCATGCGAGGCCCAGCAGGCGGTGAGAAGCGCGGCTGCGTGGCGGCAGGTGGTCAGCCTTTTCCCATGGTTTCCACTGGGGTAGCGGTGTGATCTTGCAGCATGAACTTGGGAGCTTGGGGTGAAGGATCGGGAGGTTGTTTACACGGCATGAACCTGGTTTCTGTCGCTGCTGTTTCCAAATAAAACGTGCTCAGCATAGACCTGCCCCTGACGCTTGTTTCTAAAACTGCCGTAGCCTCACGTAATTTGTACCCCGATACATGCTGTCCCCATGTTAAATGCTTGTTTCTGTGTTTGATGTGGCGTGCTGAATGCTTCTTTTTGAAGGATGGGGTCGGCGGACTCCAATGTTTCTGAGCCATCCTTGCATATCAGCTCCTTGAGGCTAGCTGTTGACGGTTTTGACAGTTGGATCTCCTGGCTTGAGAGTGTTCGTCCATGTTTGATCATTAAGGTAGAATTGATACAAGGTCTGTCCACACAATCATTTCTGAAAAATGGAAATATGTGTACAGTAAGATGTGAGTTTTATACTATGATATCGTTGAATGTAGACATGTTACGCTTGAAAGTGTATTATATAGATATGAAAACATATATGTTTTTATCGTATGTGTTTGTTTGTTTTGAATATGTTGGTGTGGTTGTACTTGTTTGTTTAGATGTTTATTATCAGGTGGTTGTTTTGTGATGTCGTGGTTTTCGAATTGTGCCGTTTTTGTTATTCGGAGAATATAATTGAATTATGGATTTGAGATAATTATACTATTTTAGATTATTGATAGTTATGATTTTTCAATAGTGTTTGATATTTGTTTGTGGTTATTTTATGTGTTTGTTTGTTTGTTTCTGTTGGTGTTTATGTTGTTGCGTTTGGTTGTGTTTGTTTGTTTTTCTTGTTTGTGTGTATTCGGGTTGGTGGTTGTTGTGTTATGTTGTGCTTGTTGGTGTTTTTCGGTGTGATTATTTGTTATGTATTTGTGTGGTGTTTGATGTGTTTATGTGTTTTTAATGTGTTTGTTATGTGTGTGTTATGTGTGTTTTATGTGTGTGTGTGTGTTTTATATGTGTTTTGTGTTTATATATATATATATATATATTATATGTGTTTGTTAATGTGTTTTTTATGTGTTGATTGTATTTTTATGTATTTTGTTTATTATGTAAAAGTATATTTATGATAATTATACATATATTGACTCTATAAAACGAAACCGTGAAACTTGCTCGTCGCACTTGCGGTCGTTTTCCCGAACCGCTTTTCCGAAAAACCCCGGATATTTCGGAAAATTGGTCCGGGCTGCCTCTGGAAGATGCAACCGCTTCATATTTCCTACGGACCGCTTACCCAAATCTGTCCGGGCTACCCCGGGCATAATCCGGAAGACGCAATGGCTTCATTTATTGTAGGGACATTCCGAATATTTCGGGGACCGTTTTCCCGAAATATCGTCGAAATATCCGGAATATTTCGGAAAACTGGTCTGGAGTGCAATTATCGAAATATTCGGGATATTTCGGAAAAATAGTCCGCTATGAGCGAAGCCGTTGTGTCTTCCAGATAAAGAGTCGGGGCATATATTTGCTCGTCCATAGCCATTTTGGCTGAAATCTCGCGCCCGTCTTCTGAGAGTTTCGGCTTTGCTTGCGCCCAGGATGTTTTCTGGTCGATCGCGTTTTCGCTTGCGTTTGTAACAACTGCATATGCAGATGGAGCTTTTGCGGCCAATAGTCCGTGGATCCGTTCTCGCCTTGCTCCGATCGCCTTTCACTGACTCTTTAGCGTGACCTTATCGCGACCAGTCCGGCCCTCAGTGCATCTCGCGACCTGTGTTTGGAGAACGGCCTGCTTTTCGCGTGCGAAGAGTATACATATTTTGACATGTATAATATGAAAAAAAGATGTATGTGCCTGAGTTAGTTGCACAAAATGTGTTGCCGACGCGGGCTCTACAAGATTGCTCTGTTCTTGGCACACCCACCACGGCCTAGGCCTTGGCGAGGGCGCGGCTTAACCACGACAAGCGCTTAAAAATTGAACCTCGCCAAAAAAACGCATAAACCTCGACAAAAAAGGTGCGAAGCTCGACAACACCGACACAAACGCACACACAAACACACAACAAACACAGACACAAACACAGAGAAACACAGGCACACACAGAAGCATGCACAGGCCCGCAAGCGTGCAGACACCGAAAAACAGATGGACAAAAACGCGACCATACAAAGACAAAGAGGCATAGAAACGGATCACCACGGGAATTGAAAAACAAGTCTGTTCTGGTCTCATGGCCTATCACAAGAAGAAGGCGCGACGATACACGACTCTCGACCAATAGTAGGGCCATAATGTCGGAGCTAAAGAATGGTGCGACGAGGCCTGTGACGAGCCCAACAACAGGACAAGATTGTCGACGGCGCAGCACAGTTCCTAACGAGACAGGACGGGCAAAAGAACTGTGCGACGGAAATGACAAGCCCACGACCGGGATCTGCGACGGGCCACACGACGGGACGTGTGACACGACGAACAAGTAACAGGCAAGACCTGCGAACGAGAAGACGCCACTTTCAATGATGGGGCTACACGACGTGCATGGGGGGTCGACAGGGCGACAGGATGTGCGACACCACACGACGGGACGTCCGACAGGCCAAGGCGCAACGCGATACTGGGCCAAAACAAGACATCAGCAAGATTGGCAAAGAACCGTACCGAATCTATAACGAACCAAATGACAGGACATAGCCACGAAGCACGGCCAATAACAGCCTCATGTAGTAAATCCACGACGGGGCAAGGAGGCACGACGGGACACGCGACGGACCACAACGGGGCCAAGGCAAGACAGGACCTGCGATGGGCCACGCAACCAACGACGGGCCAATGACGGGGTGAGGACGGGACCTGCGACGGGCTACGGGACGGGGGGGGCGACAATACAGTTCAGATCTCATCAATATCGTACTTTGTGGGGAGACCCCGTCCCTTCCATGAAGCGCGTTGCTCATAACGAATCCCTTCGCGGTTTTAGTGGAGGAGTGGCAGTTGCATCCTCATTTCCTATCCGCGAAACCAGGGATATTTTTCCAGGACCGTGGAGATCCACCACGCGCATCCTTGAAACATATCTGCATTTGGGCACCCTTGACATTCGTATTTTTGTCTTGTATGGTATGCCGCATGGCTCCCATGCACGCTCTAGCAGCAATAGTTTTTCTGCGACTAATTTCCTTTTGGAAATGTGCATTCAGCGGATGCAACTTAACAATGTACCGACCATAATTGGTGGTGACATTAATCGTAAAGTGCAAACCTTGCCGGCATGGAAAATTTTGGCATCCCAAGGTTTCTCTGAACTGCATGAACATTGGCAGCAGCATACAGGGGAAGTCCTCCCACCTACATGTGTTGCTGTCAAAGACCCGGTTCCTGGAGCGGGAGCACGCCACGACACCTTACTTATCGATCCTCGTCTGGTGAGCTCGTTACGCACCGCCCGCATCCTTGTAGATCATTCCTTTGGCCGTCACAGGCCACTTCAGGTGGCATTGACCATCCCCACCCACCAACTCTTCAGGCGCTGGAAACTGCCAGCTGATTTTACTGATTTGTGCCCTGACTCCAATAGGAGCAAGTGTACCCTACCGTTACTCTTCCGGCTACACACGTTCCCTCCTCTGTAACACCTGAGACTGAGCTAGTCCGTTGGACATGTAAGGTTGAAGAGGCTGTGCATCAAGCCATTGTTCAGCAGCATGCTCAGGACCCCATCCGCCAACCATATATGGGCCTGTCTCGTCAGTATCGTGGACGATGTCGTCCACAAAAACTGATTAAGGTTCCCCTGGCCCAACCGGCCAAGGTGGCCAGACACAACGACTATCAACCACCAGCGGAGGCACTCACCATGAGAGCCAAACAGAGAGTGCGACAGGTAAGGCGACTGCAATCGCTTTACTCACAGATGTTCACCTCAGACGGACTTTCTCGCCCGCTCACCCACAGTAGGATTGCGCAGTTGCAGCATGAGTGGAATGCTATCCTTAGGGCACCCGGATACCCTACCTCCTTCGCCACATAAGCCCTCTCGTGGCCCGAAATCGCATACCTTCCAAGAGAGTTGCCGGATGCGGATTTGCTTTGCACCATACAGCAACTGGCTAAGCATGACGCTAACGACGTGGTAATGCTCGAACTACGCGCCAGATGTGCT